TCTGAAAAGATAAGCCCCACCTACTGCTTTGAGTGCTCAGGATATTTACATTCTAAGAGACTGCCTGGGGGCTGTTGACAATTTGAAGGGGGGGAAAAAGGAACCTTTTGGATTTTTAAATTTTGAACTAGTGGTCTGTGCTTGGAGCTGGAAACATCTGGAGCCATGAAAGAATGATCCTCTCTAGGACTGAACACTAAAGGGAGCCTATGGGCAGTCTGACATACTTGGTAGGTGACTATCTGGATCCACTATATTGAGTGGAAGTTTGAGAAAGGCAGGAATAAAGAGACAGGATGAGGCTGACCACTGACACTGTGGACCTGGTTCACAGGGACTAGAGGAGAAGATGAGAGTGGGTTGGGTGGTCTGAAGTTCATGACCTAGCCCAAGGGTGCTAGGGTTGTTCAGAATTTGTGACAGTGCCCACCATTGAAAGGCAAAAGAGCCAATGGGAACTCTATTGAGGCTAAGTGAGGCAGCCCACATTGAGTTGACCAGAACCTGACCAGAACCAGATGAAGAGATAAATTTTGAGCCAGTGAATTGGTGTACATTTCTGCTTACTTTATGGATGGCCTGTCCTAATTTGGCCTTGCTTATGGATATGAACTCAAAAGGTTCCAACTGGAATGAAGATTCCTCACATCAAATAACATGCTTGCTTTCTCAGAGCACTGGATTATTATAAGTAGGCAGTATAGAAATTGGATACCCAAAATTGAGTGGGTAAAGGTATGAAGTGGCTGGCTTACAAACTTTCATGGATTGGGGATATGTTTTTAGAATTTTGGATTATGGTGGAAGTGTTCACATAACTGCAATTGTTAAGCATTAAATATTTTTGTTTAGTCACTTACAGAGTATTATGAAGCTGGCACATTTTGAGTTGTGTGCATTTTAGTTTTATCCTGTTAGGCACAAATGTGATTTTGCTTTTGTTCTTGTTTTAAAAATTATATCTCGTTAAAGATTTGTGTAAAGGTGTAAAGTTAACAAGGGGTGGTCTGTGGTAGTTACAAAATTTCAAGTCAACTTGATAAGTATAGGGTTGGAGTCTAGCCTGTCAATCAGGTCACAGTCTGATGATGCCTCCTCATGAGGATTCTGGGAACTTCCTCTCTTTCTCCCTGGAGGTAGGATACACATTCTCTCTCTGCTTCAGCTTCTTGTCAAAGAGCCACACTTAGAGAGCTGGAGGAGCCATATGGAGACCTGTGCCAGGGCTGAAATGCTTCCTATACCATTGAAGCATCCACAATACTTTGCAACCATTGGCCTGTGATCTTCCTGAATTTTGCATCATTGCATGTGACTGTGTGAGTCTGATGAAGGATTTATGGATAAATATTGTACTTATGGGCTAATATCGGACTTATAGAATTGATCTGGACTGGGCTGGGATATTTTCTTAATATACAATGACTCTTTGATATAAAGTTCTTTCTTATACATACATGAGTGCCTCTGGATTTGTTTCTGTAGTCCACCCAGCCCAACACACCTATACTGGATAAGAAACAAACTACACACACAAAAACAATAACAATAACAACAATGATAAAAACAAGAGAAGAAACTTCATTGAAAAGGAAGTAGAAAATATTAAAAACTGAAATAATTTTAAATGGTTCAATAAGGAGATCAAGATAAGGGACTAAATTTTTACCTAATGACATTTCTACATTTGATATAATCCACTTTACAATACTCTCTATCTGAGAGCAACACTATTCATATCCCTGCACTATAGTCAGAGGGAATTCATTGAAGGCTTAATCCATGTGGGGACCCTGCAAATGGATTTTGGCCTTCAACTGTCATTCATGGTTTTCTGCAAACCAGGTGTTCAGAATTCCATTTCATCATTTGTATTTGGATTTTATTATTTAAAACCCTTGGATCAGATGGGTTGGTTTGCTTCTTCCACGTGGACTTAGTTGATGTGGTAGATACTTAATCTGTTGTCAGTTTGAGACTTACGAGTGAAGGGGTGGGATTTACCTGTCAATCAGGTTGCAGCATGATGACCTCATTTGGAGGTGCCAAGGAGATAAATAGCTTGCTGGAGGTGGGACACTCATACTCCTTGCAAGACATCCCTGAGGAGAAACCACATGGACCTATCCTGATGCAGCCAGAGCCCTGGGAGCTAGAGAAGCCATGAGGAGACCCCTGCCAGAGCTGAGATGCTAACAACATCACTGGATCCACAAGACTTTCCACCCACTGGCCTGTGATCTTCCTGCATTCAACATCATTGCATGTGTCTGAAGAGGACTTTATAAGTTGATATTGGACATAAGGGCTCATATAGGACTTATGGACTTGATCTGGATGGGCTGGGATGTGTTCTCAATATTCAATTGCTCTTGTATATAAAGCTCTTTCTTATACACATGAGTGTCCATGAATCTGGACCCATACTAACACAATTGTGCTAACACAAGTAAACCCGTACTAACAAATTGACTCTTCATTTAGATGGCTGTTTGTTGAAGACAAGCCTTTAAGACCCCAGACACTATTATATCTGGTAGCCAGGCACCATCAGGTTTCTTTCACCACACTTTGCTACAGCATTCACATCTTCAGTGATATGAGGGTCACTATTGAGGATGGCCATGCCATAAGAACCCCTGTTCTTGATTATATGGTCATCTTAAAATGGGTGAGCTTCAACCCATTATTTCTAGCAAAATGGCTCTTTTATTCCTTTCATCTTCTTTTGATGCTTACGGTTTTGCTCAAGAGTTTGCCTAGAGAATCCTACAATATTACACCAGTTCGTTCAGTTAGAGAAATTCCAAGGGGTTTGTACCCTATTGGGTGACTAACTCTCAGTCTCTGCACACTTTGCTGTAATGCTTTTCTTAGTACCGTCAAGCTTCCCTTTGAAGTTTTCTGTTTGACTCTTCAAATTCATTTTTTCATTTTTATCTCTAGTTTGCTTCTTTTTAATTGTTTCTTCAACCATTTGCTTGTCAGATGGATGTGCTTTGGTTGCTTGTGTTCCTGTGATACTGGAAGAGCTGTGTCATGAACATTTCAAATATAAAAGAGTAAATAGCGTACAATCTAGTGGTTTTTAGTACCTTTTCAGAGGTTTGCAACAATCTTACAGTCTAATTTGATAACATTTTATCACACACACACAAAAAAGAACTAACCAAAAAACAGTTATTCCAAATTATTCCCTTTCCCTAGCTACTGGTAACCATTAATCTACCTTCTATCTCTATATTTTTGCCTTTATGTACATTTTATACAAATAAAATTATACACCAAATGATTTTGTTGCTAGGTTCTTTTACTGACTGTAATGATTTCAAGGTTCATCTCTCTTGTAGCATGCACAAGCACATTCCTTTTTATTATAGAAAACATTCCTTTGTATAGAAACGTATTCACTAGTTGAAGGGCATTTGGGTTGTTCCCACATCTTGGCTATTATGAATAACCTGCTATGACTATTCAAACATAAATTTTTGTATAGACATATAACTTCTATTCTTTTGAATATATGCCAGGAGTGCAACTGCTAGATCAGACAGTAATTTTATGTTTAACTTTTTAGGGAATTAGTCAATTGTTTTACAAAGTGTGTCTGCACCATTTTACATGCTCATCAATAATTTCCCATATCCTTATCAATACTCATTATGGTCTGCCTTTTTATTCTTGCTACTCTAGTGCATATGAACTGGTATCGCACTGTGGTGCTAATCTGCATTTCTTTCTCATTTCCCTCATGACTAATACATTGAGCCCAAGTTGCACAATGGTTAAGCAGTCAGATGCTAGAAATTCAAACCCACTAGTGGCACCAAGAGAGAAAATGTCTGTGGTCTGCTCTCAGGAAGATTACATTCTAAGGAGCCACACGTGGTTGTTTTCTGTCTGATATGCCACTATGTGGTAACCAGGTGGCCAGTGAATGTTAAAACAAAATTTCCTTGATATTGCATTCAAACACTAATCATCTATAAATCAATAAGGCAATAGAATAAATTCAAATGGAAATAATAACCCCTTTATGATATTTTCCCCAAATCAATCTATCTTCAAGTTATTTATAAATATTTCAAAATGATCTCATTTGAAAATTTATAAGTTTTAAATGTACACTTGTCTAAATGGACCTATTCTAAATATTTGAGAAATATGTGATCACATTAGCTTCATGCACCAATATCCTCTATAGTCCACAATCACTTTTCTAATTAATGGATAGCTAAGTTTTCATTTTAAGCCAAACTGTATGCAAACCATTGAATTCTTCTGCACTATTTTAGCTCTAGGAACATATTTTTTATTTAAAAAGTAATACACCTTCACTCTTCTGGTATACATTGCCGATTAATTTATATTTCATTTGAGAGCCATGTGTGTATTTATGAAGGCAAGCATGAATCAATCTTTCAATGGGCAGAGGAGCCCTCAGCGAGCCTTACCAGGTTCCCGACAGATAACACACTGCTGAACTGCTCCGTCATGGGGTAGTGCTCCATGGCCATGAAGAGCGTGTTTAAGACGATGCAGATGGTGATGGCCAAGTCCACAAACGGATCCATCACGACCAGGTTGACAATGTGCTTCACCTTTAACCATGGTTTACAGCAGTCCCAGATCAAACACATGTTAGCAAATTTATACCAGCAGGGTGGACATTTCTGTCTGGATTCTTCAAGTTCTGAAAGAAAGAATTAAAAAAAATTAGAATACTCATGAAAACTGCTTACTTTCTACTAAGCAGCCTTCAGTTTAAACTAAAAGTACATTTTGAAAAATCAAAAGTTGTTAAGAGACATTATAGGTTGATTTGATGGTGGAGCAGGTTAAAGCTTATCTTGAGTTTTCTGTTATGGAAACGGTTGGTAGAGAAAGGGTATTAAACTTTACAAATGAGTAGGCTCAATATAGTGTCTAGTATTTGATCTGCTCTATTAAACTTCCTGAAAATTGTATTCAAGAGTGAAAATTAGATTCCAAAACTGACTAAAATTTGCATTAATACACTCGAAGCTCATCCATGTTCCATATGGATGAAAGAACATGGAGATTATCAAAAACATCTTCTCTCAGGTGTCCTAAACTCCTTAGTAAGTCACACTGAATCTTCTTGGATGAATATATATATATACACATATATGTGTGCATGTGTGTTTATATGTATTATTTGTATCTATCTATCTATCTACCTATCTTTATTAGGATTTTAATTGAAATCATTTTGTCAATGTCAGTATTGAGTCAGAAAGACTCAAAATAATGCCCTAGATATACAAGTTGGCATATTTAAATTCAACAAGATTCCTGCACTCTAATTCTTAACTACCGATCAATACGAAGAAGTGCTACTGCAAGGAAATAGAATTCGCACTGTTAGCACAGATCAAGGTTTCACAGGGCGGAACTCGTAGTCTGCTGGTAAACTATCAGGAGGGTTTGACATGGAATGCATGTGTGAAATTCCTAAATTGTCATGGCATGCATTTACCTTTTTAATTCAATATTTCATTATGTTTTAGTAAAAAAGTTTACGCATAAAATCGGGTTCCTCTTTAACATTTTTATACAAATTATTCTATGCCATTGATTGCCATTTTTATGAATTGTCAGCATTCTCATTATTTCCACACAATTCATTCTATTTCTCTGGATCAAGTTTCCTTTCCATTCCTTCCTTATCTTTTGGATACATATTAATCATTTGGCCTGATATAGTTAATTGTTTAAGGGAGCACATTACTTGTGGGTAATATTGTTTATTTATAGGTCCATCTATTAGCTGACTGAAAAGTAATCTACAAAAAGAGCTTTAATTTCAAATTCAAAGGATATGTTAGGGTAATAGTCTCAAGGGTTCCTCTAATCTCGATCCAGTAGATCTGGCATCTTCTAGAAATTTGATATTTTCCTACATTTTTTATCTTAGTCTGTCTGGGACCTTCTAATGTATATCCCTGGTCAAAATGGTTGGCAAAGGTAGCCGGGCACCATTTAGTTCTTGTTTTAGCTTAGAAGAGGCCAGGGTTCATGTGGGCTATTAGTCCCGTGAATTAGTTTCTTCTTTAAACCATTGATTTCCTTCATTCTCTTCTGTTCTATGTGAGTAGACCATAATTGCACCTTACATGACCGTTCACAAGCGTATAAGATCCCGGAAACTACTCACCAAACTTAAGTTGTCCCCTGAGACTAGGATCCCAAGATTTTTGACCCAGTAAACCAAACCCATAAGTTGTTTGGATATTTCTAGGACGTCTCTGTAAATTTGTCCTCTATGTTGTATTTATTTTAATGTTTTAAAATATAAAGCTATCCCATTGAAATCATGATACAAATTTTCTTTGAAAATACATATATTACATTAAGAAAAAGGTACAATGATTTACAAGCAAGTTTCAACTGAAAATGGAATGTGAGAATACAGAAATAACAGATATTTAAGGTGATACTCAAATTATGAACATTGGTAAATGTTAACCAAGAAGAAAGCCCTGGAGGCACAAGCATCTAAGTGCTCAGTTGATAGCTAAATGGCAGGCAGTTGGAACTCACCGGAGAGAAAGATGGACTAAATTACTTTCATAATGATTTAGCCGGAAAACCAGTTCTACTGGTGCTATTCTATAGCACCGCTGTAAGTGGGAATGTATTCAAGGGTCATGACCTTGTTTTTGTTTTGATATTTTCTTTTATTATTAGCAAATCATTTTTTGGAAGTAACTCACTGCCACTGAGTTAATTAAGACACCTACTGAGCCCATGGGCCGGATACAATGCGCCTTAGTGTTTTCCAAGACCATAATCTTTAAGGGAGCAGACACAGCCATCTTTCTCCCACAGAATGGCTGGTGGGTTTGAACCACCAGTTTGTGGCTAACAGCTCAACAATTAACTCACTGAACCATGTGGGCTCCTGTAGCTGCCATCTTCCTTCAGCAAGATCATTTCTGATCATATCTGTGGGAATAGGTTGCCTACTTTGTTGGGTTTTGCCAATCTCATTGTCTCACATCATATTATCTATTCTCCCCAACACGGAGCAAGCATTTCTGAAGCACACAAATAAAGGGGGAGATTTTTTGTACCAATCTAAGACACAACTCTGAACAGTAATTTTAGTATTACTATTGTTCCATTTAAGGAACTCCTGTGGCACTGTGAGTTAGACATTGGGTTGCTGTCCACAAGATTGGCAGTTCAAATCCACCAGCTAGTCCATGAGAGAAAGATGAGTCTGTCTGCTCCCCAAAAGATGTATCTTGTCAGAATCCCTGCATAGGATCACTGTGAGTCAGATTGACTTGCTGGTAGTCCGTCAGTTTGTTTATTTTAAGGGGGAGGAACATTGTGCCAACTAGAATACTACTCAATCCTGCTCAATTAAATTTCTTTTGGAGAGCACCAAGAAAATGACATGGACAATCGCATAAGTATAGAGTTTGTTATGCTGATAAACATTTTTCATTAAGTAATGCTGTAAAGTTTACCACTTCCTTAAAGTAAATTAATATAGTGCTATTTTAATAGTATAAAGGTACTCTTTAGCTGTCTCATCAGATACTGAAATTCTTAATGTATACCATGTATGTCCATTTATCATAATATTTAATTTTTAAATAGTAAAGATTATTCAAATGACAAATCAGAGAAAATATAATTATTATATACTAATAATTATATTCTATATAATTATCATATACAATACAACAGAGGCTATATAATCTTATACTGTATGATAATAATTATATACACCTATAATTACTATCTACTAATCATTTTGAGAGGAGCCCTGATGGCAGTGATTAAGCATTCATCTGCTAACCAAAAGGTTTGTGGTATGAGTCCCTAGCTGTTCCATTGGGGCAACAGGTTGCAGTCTAGTTCCATAAAGATTACAGTCTTGGAAGCCCTATGGGACATTCTACTGTTTCCTAACGGGCCACCATAAATTGGCATTGGGTTTGGTTCTTGGTAGTCATTTTGTAGATGCTGTTATGACTCCCAAATTAATCTCATGTTTATACTAATGAAAAAAAGAGAGAGAGAAGATACATTAATTAGACTAAATAACAAAGAGTCAATTAAAAACATTTCTGTTTGTCTATGCACTCTTCGTCTCTGTACCTTAGAAAAATTGCCAACGACTGTGCATGTGGTCAATTAGTCTTTCTTCACCTCCCACCCCTCTTTTAAACCGTGATTTGAGTGAAGATTTACAGAGCACCTTAGTTTTCTATTGGACATTTTGTTCTGTGACAGGGACATCGATTTCCATCCCCATGAGGTCACAGCACCCCTTCCACTTCCTCCTCAGTTTCCTGTTTGTTCTTGTTGAAGTTGTTCTTTTCTATTCTTTCGTGCCTTCTGAGCATTAGACCTGCACAAAGGCTGCCCTCTTGATCTCGTGTGGCTGATTGTTGCAAGGAGCACATGGCTTACGGATGCTGTTGTTCACCACACACACTGATCTATTGTTTGGCTGAAAGTAGAGCCACAGAGATGAGTACAGTGCCAGTCTTGAAGGGCAATTAAGGGCCATATGTCACAGAGGTTCCACAAGAATCCATCACACCAGTAAGCCTGGTCTTTTTTTTTTTTTTTTTATGACATTGAGTTTTAGGTGACCAGCTGCCACTTCTGACCACTCTGATTAAATCCGCATAAAACCATTAACATAATGGAAGAAAAACTTAGAACAAAGTTAAAATTATATTTAAAAGACCAGACTTACTAGTCTGATCGAGACTAGTGGAACCTCTGAAACTTTGTCCTTAAGCTACCCTTCATAGCTGGAAAGGAACCCATCCCAAAGACCACTTGACAGTCCAACGACAGACAAGCCAAGAAGGTGACTAATCACACTAGTGAGAAACATACTCTTGGGGGAAATACACCTTATCAGATGAGAAGGGCAGCATGCATGCCCCCAAACAAAGCTCAGAAGGCAAGAGGGACAGGAAAGAAGGGCAGAGTGAAATGATAATTCAGCAGCTGTTGCATTGAGGGAATTACAACTAATGTCGTGAAACAAAATGTGTATAAATTGTCGAATTGAAAACTGGTTTTCTCTGTAAACTTTCACCTAACTCAGATTTTTTTAACACGCTGTCTGTATTTTGGTAGATTAAATCAAAGAAAATAGAAAGTGTGTAGAAAACAGTAAGTCAGGAAAGTTCAAAGGGATGATGTTGGCAGCTGTTGCTTGTCTTGACACCAGGAAAAAACTACATAAGCAATATTATTTAAGTTCTAAAATAAAATTGTTCCATCATTTGTGCCAAAAAAGAGTCTCTTACACCTTGGCACAAAGCAGAGCACTCAACAAAGAACTACAGCTACTTTTCCATTGTTCCTGCATGGGTCACCCACACCAAGAACCAGCTAAATTTATATATTAGGCTGACTCACCTTGATTCCTCAGGAGCTTCTAACTCAGCCACCCACCATTTTTCCTAAGCACATGACCTGAAAACATTTCTATATATTTGACATAAAATACACATGAAAATCAATATTTTTGTTCACCTACTACTGCTTCATTATGTATGAGATTGTTACTCATACTTACTTAATCATCACTATGGACAATGGAGACTGACGTTAAAACAATAGAAAGACAAAAGTTTCTCCTGGATCAACAAGCCTGATTTGTAAAAAGAAAATGTGAACAAAAACCATTATAGGACTTAAAAGGAGTCACAAATAATCATAGTATGTCAATTTAAGAAACCTATCCACCATTATCAGGAACAGAGAGAGAAAAGAAAAGAAAGAGAGAGAAAGCCAGAGAGAGAGACCATATTAAAAAGTGTGTATATGTATACTAAGAATTGCTAACAAGCAGCCCTGGTCAATGCCACATTCAAAATGTTTAGATACAGTTGAATAAAGAAAACTCATCTTTTATCCTATGTAGCTAATAAAAACAGACTGCAACCTCAGCACTTGCTCCTCACGAAAATACAAAACCCAAACCTGAAGGTTTTAGAACCAAAACGCTATCCGTCTCCTGCTTCCCATGTTCTATTTATTTCTTGCTCAGCTTTTCATCACAGGAAACTCCGTGAGATGTTATTTTCACTAAGGGAGAGGAGGGTGTATTCATCTTGAATAATGTGGCTTAGGAACGGGACTAGCTCAATCTTGTGGTACTTTTAAAATGAATTTCTTAAGTTAGCTCAAACGTAATACTATCAGAAGTGCAAAGTATGACTGTTTGACTTACCCTGTCTCCTTCTCTACTTCCTGCTTTAGGGAGCAGACATGCTGCTGACATCTGTAGCAGAACCACTGGCAGCTTCCTCTCAGTGGTTTTGCTATGGCAAGGAGCAGAAGACCAGAATCTTCCAAAGATTTACCTGGAGGGACAGGGAGGAGCAAGCTACTGGCAGCTGGGGGGGAAGAGGGAGTGCAAGCTAATGCAGGTGAGGTTAGGGAAGAACGCACTAAAGTTTAATATTCCGTAGAAATCATTAAAAGATTTCTGATACTGTTTTAGGACACTATGAAAATTGGGTCTTGTAGTCTTGATATGGTTGCGGTGTAATATAGCTGGTCATCTACACTGTGAGGTTTTTTTCCCCACCTGGCTATGATTTTTCGGTTTCTGGTACCAGTATTAATATCTTGGGATCCTTGTAGTCAGACTC